ACACACATTGAACTATGTGAATCAGACTGAAACCACACAGTATCCGAGTAGATAATACATTGTAAATTAAGTTTCTATGAATAAATTGAATTCTCAGGGATGCAAAGAAAAGCTTGAATATAATCACCTCGTGACACAGCCTTATAAAAGTAAAAAGCATTTTTTTCTGCAAGGAGACTGAAGCCAGAGATGGGTCTTGGAGAAGTCTCAAACACTCTCCCTACACTTTCAACAAGCAAGGAATCGCTTGCCCTTGAAATGCATCCCTAAATCCAGGCACGCTTTCGGACCCACAGATCTGCTGAAATTGTGCTGTAAAGGACTCTGCTTGACAACATCTATCAGCAACAGCTGTGATAGTTCTAGTGACTACTCATAGTAGGTTTACCTATGTCCTGCAATCAGCCCCATTTTAAACACATAGGTAAAAACAAAATAGCAACATCTTTACAAACAGCAGAGCATTCTTATGCTCATAAAACTATTATGAGTCTTGCATTATTACACTCAGTTGGCTGGACTGCACTGAATATACAACAAACTTGTCTGTTCAACAAGAAAGTTATTTATCAAGTTCTTATGAATGCAATGAGCTTGAAATTGTGACACTGGTGGGCCTTGATGCTGCAGAGAAGAAAATGTTTACTAGAATAATACATTGGTTTTTTTTATTCCACTGGACTCTACCTGTTTTTACTCCCTTCCCTGGCAGTACCCAGAATTAAAGTGTTGGTTTTTGGTTTGTTTTTAATTTCATGCAAGAAACCTGAATTGTTGCCTCAAAACCTGCTGTGCCTGTTTTTTTCGGTGTTTTTTTTATTTGGGGGGGTTGTGGGGGGGGGGGGGAAGCTATGACAACCTGTTATAAACTATTTATATAGCATTGCTCACATGCCATTAAAAATTAGCACAAACCACTAATCTCAGAAACTAAGTCAGCTCTGAAGAAAAGATATCTGCAAGGCTTGCAATGTTAGAGTGGGAACTGGCAATTCTCATTCATATACAGGCTACATAGAGATTACCTTCTCATTAGAGATTCTTTTCATCCTGATCTAAAAAAAGAAATTTACTTATACTTAATACTGTCTCTGATCATTAGCAGGAAAATAATCTCAAGGAAGGAACATAGCTTTCATTTCTTCCATAAAGTGACAGAGATGGGAAAGAATTACTTTTAACAAGGCTGTCTTGTTTTCTCAGCCACCCAGGCTCTCAGAAACATTTTAATTAAGAGTCACAATACTTAAATTTCACCAACAGAGATCCTGGTGGCTGACTGATATGCTGCAGCACCTGAAGTCAGACTGACAGGACAGACCTCCTCAGCCATGGAGAGAACCATGGCTACTTTGGGATCAATCCAATCACTATAAAGGTGAACAAGGAAAATGACATAATACTCTAGTCCTAGGAGTAGCATGAATCCTGTGCATTTTAAAAAAGCTCTTACTAAGTAAGCTTTTGTGCTCTACAGGTCACCAAAGCAAGTCACACAGAACTTAGAATTTGTTAAGTTTAGAAATCCAAACCCACTCAATTTGCTCCACAATTCCTAAATCAGCATGCTACATTTTCACCTGCATTGCTTTTAATATGGAGCTACATCACAGGGCACAGGTAACCCACTATTTTGTATTTTATGCCACCTGTGTAAGCTGGTTTACAGAAGGTAATTTTCTATTCTTGCACCTGACAAAATTCTCTAACTTAAGTGCAGTAAATAGGTAGTCTTTGTTGCACATTTGCATAAATAGAAACCTGTGGGCAGGACACTATGGTAGGATTTACATTTATGGAGCTGCAAGAAAATACAAGATATTAAGAACTTCTTCCACATACCATATTCCAGACACCTTTGGCTTTATGATCTGTGCAATTACATAACTGCCCACTATTTTGACTGGGAATCCTTCCTCCTCATTCAGCACACAGGAGCAATATTACTCAAAAAGGACAATCTTACAGTTAAAGCTGCTGAATCTCACTCCAGAAAAGCTCTGCTAGTGACTTCCTACATAATGGTGACCAAAGGAAAAACTATTAATCAAAGTGTACGAATTATGTATCCTCTGTTTTCTGGGGGCCCAACACACTGCCTGAGAGCAGAAGGGCATAGCACTTAACTGCGACTGAAATAGATTCAAAGCACTGTCCAAATCTTCAGAACAGCTCCAGGAATTATAATTTAGAAGATGAAATTTCTCATTCTGCCTCTATTAAGAAATATGCACCATGATTTTTTGAGTACTTGAGGTTTTCCAGTTACAGCAGCTGAGAGCTCAGTCTGAGCAAGTTCACCACACCTCTCTTTGCACTGCTCTACAGCCTAGTATTGAAACCTTCACTGTCCTTAGTCTTCATTTTTCCATCTGTTCAAAGGAACAGTAACATGAAGCAGCTGAAAAGGTATCTGAATGCTTTGCAAATATTTTGGAAGCTGCCAGAAACCAGTAACTCTGTATTTGGCTCAAATCTGTGGAAGAGACAAGGCATCAATGCTATCCATTAAAAGAGGGAAGAAGAACCCTGATCACTCAAGTGCAGTCCATCCCATGTACCAAATGAGGCAGCTATCTCATACATGTATGTAAGTTGACACGCAGCATGCTTGCATTAAGGAAAATAATGATTTACAGTAAGCACATACACAGCTTCCAACCTTCTAGAAAAATACCCAAGTATAAGGCACTGTCATAACACATTTCTGCTATAGAAATCAATAGAACAGGTTAAGTACAAACAAACAGCAAATATAATTTATTCATTTAAGCAGATACTAACAAGAAGTAGTATTTAAAACAGTGATGCATGAATTCCCAAGGAACATTTAGCCTTCACATTTAAAGTAATGATTATACACATAGTACTTCTTTCCAAACACTTATCTTTTTTTTTTTTTTTTTTTTTTTTTTAATTTTGTGACGAATTTTACACAGACTGAAGCCACACAGTATCCGAGTACGGACACTGAAGATGACTGCACACTAGCTCCCTAACATAATTCTGATTTAGCTACTCTTGTCTATATATAGATACATGCCTTTTCAGGTACAAGATCCTATTTTACAACTTCACATACAAGAAGTAAGAAATTCAAGCTTTTATTCAGTCTATGCTTGCTTAAACTAGACTTACCTCTCTTTTAAGTTCATTCATACACTGGCATGTTTTTAAAATGGCTACTTCCAAATCTTCCATGAGATCCTTTGTCTTCTGGTTTTGCTACAAGCCAAAGAAAGCAACCAACAAAACATTACACAAAAAACCCCAGCAAATCCCACCTTCACATCTTGTGTTGTTATTTCAAGTTGCTTTAGAACATAGCCTTTTCTTTCTAGAAGTAATGTTTTCATTTGCACATCCTGTGTATATTTTACTTGAAAAATTCTTTTATAGAAACATTTATCATCAAATGTAAAAATAATAGTGATGCAAGCTACTAATCAAGATGACTGTTTCTGTTCAACAGGAATTTATTTCTGAACCTCACTGAGTTTTTTCAGGGAAAGGGTTTCCTCAGTCTTTACAACTTCCAAAAATATTCTCTCTAAACATCCTAAAGTAGAGCAACATTTTAAGGCTTTTTTTTTTTAATGTAAACACCCTTTTAAAATAATGAGGTACCTAAAACATCATACCAAATGTTCTATACTGAATTACAAAAAGGTTGCTTAAAGCATCCTTGTAAGACTTTAGATCATTGCCTAATTTAAATGAGTACAGTGGCTATCAACATTTTGTTGAGGTAGCTTCAAAACAGAGCTCCCACTTCTGCAAACAGCACCTATCTATGGAATAATCCAAATGTCAAGAGACATACACTGGGGAAAAGAGTTAAGTAGCAGTGATTTTGCATTCTTCTCCAAAACATATTGGAAACGGTTATCCTAAGTGGGACCATTAACATGGTAATAGCTGCAAAAACATTAGCCTCTCAGAGTCTAAATTAACATAAACATACACATGCACACAAAATGTGTGTAGATATAGACATGCACACCCTCCATTGTATTTAAAGGAAAAAAATCCAGTACGGTAATTTTTCTCAGGTATTCTTATCTGTTCTAAGTCTCAAAGCTACCAATCCCTTCAATTTAATGCTTTCCTTTAAGTAATTTGTGTAAAAATGTAACATCACAAAATCACTTTTATCACAAAGAGCCTCATGTTTAACACTCACTAAACTGTCCTCTTTATTTCTTTTACTTATTTAATGTGCACATTTTTGCACCTTCTACGTGCAACTTTTTTTTCTTTTTTGGGTTTGTTTGGTTGGTTGGGGTTTTTTTGTTAAGTTAAGGAATTGTGTAGCCAAAATAAGGTTACAGGAAAATCTAAAACAGGACAGTAGCCTGCGATCTTATGAGCTCAAACATACACAGGAAGGCTTTCAGAAATATTTAAAATTAAATCAACAGCATTAGATAATCTGTTGTGCTCCAGCTAGTTTTCATTAACATACAATAATACAAACAAGAACAAATCAGTGATGTCAGTCTGATTTAGAGTTGACCTAGGGTACAAAAGATTTTAAAACACACTCTTCACTGAAGACTCACTAAAAGGAAGGACAGTGAGTAGCAAGGGAAATAATTGGGCAATCTAAGAACTCTACATATCCCCCAGTTCATGTAACCCCAAGGTACAATAATTTTTCTTTTTTTTTAAATCAACAGTCCCACTTGAATCACATTAAGTCCCTCAGAAGATACTGACCCTCCAATGAAGATGCTGAGCTGAAATTAAAAAGTCACCTCAGTGAGCTGATGCTATTTTATCTGCTCACTACACCTTCAGTCACTGCTAGGCTGGGTTATTTATTAATGAAAATACTTAATACATAAGCACAAACGTGCATACCCAAGTATTTTCACAGACCATATATATGCATAGTCTTGTACTAGGCTCTCATTTCTATTACTTGAAATGTAGCATGTAAATTATCTAGAGGTTATCAGTTCCCACCAGTAACAGAGCTTAGAAATACCCAAGTGTACTGGTTTTGGCTGGGACAGAATTCATTTTCTTCATAGTACCTGGTATGGTGCCATTTGGGATTTGTGACAAAAACAATGTTGATAACATGGGGATGTGTTAGCTATTGCTGAACAGTGCTTACACAGCTGCCTACCAGGGCTAAACACCAGCACCAAGCTAAACACAGTTTTAGTTTCTTATAGTTATGGGATTCTCTGCAATTAATATTACATATGTGTCTTCTTTGTAATAACAATAGTCTGTATTATCAGTAAGATTTATATGCTCTTCAAACTACACAACTGCATTAAGAACACTTGACTGCAGCATCTCATTCACAGAGATGAAAAGGAACAAAAATGCTTTCTCATAAGTAATACACTTCAGTTAAGTAAATATCCTATACTAGTACACATCTGCCATATTTCAGAGTGTCAATAAGACTTTGTGCTTATGTTTCCCCGGGAACAAGACTGAAAGCAAGTCAGCATCAGAAACAGAAACTGCATTTTCCATCTCCCCCTTTTGCATGTATCAGAATTCTATCATCTTCAAGGAATGAGATAAGATAAATAACAGAGAAAGGCTTAATGTGCTGCTTCTCTAAAAAGGTAAACTACCATCATTTAAATCTTCTAAAAATTACAAGCAAAAATTCCCTGTAAGTCTTAGTGTCTCTTTCCTCTCTCTCCACAAGATTAAAAAAACAGACAATTTTTTAGAATATTTCCCTTTCCAATAGTTTAAGTGTTTTCAATATCCTGTTGAAAACAAGAAACAGAAACTGTGGTCACTGCCATGGGATCAAGACAATTGAAGTCTCTGAACTACTCAACCAAAAGACTTAGCTATTTAAGACTGTGCAATCATACTTCCATTCGCCTGGTTTCCACCTAAGAGCTTCATTAAAATTAGGCTACCATCACTAGTAGCCTAATTTAGCCATCAAAGAGTCGGTGAAGCAATACCACTGGGGCAGGAGGAGGGCAGAATATATTGAAGTTGCAGAAGCACAGAATAAACTCTGGCTTCCTTGATCAGCTCTCACTGTGTGGAATACACACAGTTCTCTCTTCCTAGACCAGAAGAAACACAGTATTAAAAATTTATTTCCAAAGTAGAGGCGAAAAGATTTACTTTGCTAAAAAACTCTTACAGCTTGCATCCACACTGAAACCAGCTGCTCTAGTTCCATTTTAGCCTGTTTAGAGAGCTCCAAAATGTGTTCTCTGTGCTCATGACTGGTATAGGCAGAGTCTGTGAAGTCCTCTGTATGTTCCAGGATAACCTCCAGCATTGTTGAAAGGTTCTCTTTTGAGAGAAAATAAAGATTCTCACGAAGACCCTCCACCTTATTCTGAAAAAGAAACATAACAGTTCCTTGAGAATTTATGTGGTTGTACAGTTGTGATGCAAATGCAGAAAGCAGATGCATCATTTTATATTTTATTTTTATCCTCAGTGCTTTTTTGTATCATTCACTTGTTTTCAAAGTAATCAAACAATTTGCTTGTACCCAGACATCCAGTTTAGGCTTTGGGATTATTTTTTTTTTAATGTAATAATACCATCAGCAAATTAGTGGCTGCTCATCAGAAGTTACAGAAAATACACTACTGTTCTGGTGTCAATGAAAAGTTTTTAAGTTCAGTAAGTTTCAGAAATTAAATGCATATTCAGATTTTGTTTGATCTTTACAAGTTTTTCCATATCTGTATAACCTATTTTGAGTATTTTTCTAAAAATTTACAGGTAGCAGTTGAATACTTTGAGGTGCTTTGCAAAAATTTCCACCAAATTCTAAGGGGCTGTGGGGGGTGAGGATAAATAAATAAATAAATATTCAAACAAACAAACAAAACCAACTAAGTGACAAACTCCAAAGAAATGAGACACGGTGGTCTGAGTATGAAATTTTACAAGAGCTTTTATCAGGAAAAACAGACTGAGCCACAAGATACAATTTCAATTAATAACATTTCCTTTGAGTAACAGTTTCCTCTTCTAAATGTTTGGATGAATATTTCTGTGTGCAGTTTTAAAAATACTACTAATTAAGAAGCAAGAATTCTTCAACCACAACTATTTTAATGAGGTTCTGATTGGTATCTTAATACTTAAGTTTATTCACCGTTTGAGGCATCACCTCAACAAAACTTTTAGAGTCCTGAATGCATTCTGATTTAGGAGGAGATGACAAGTATCAGAAAGTGTATTTTGGCAACAATAATGAAAGTATCATCACCTCTTGCCAGATTACCCAACATATTGGGACAGTTATTTAAGTTACACTGCTGAAAATATGCAGCTCAACCACTTGGAATTTATTTTTTTTTTTTTCTTCACAAATTTTAGTTTTGAGGTAACTTACTAGGCTGTGGAAAACAAGATTACTTCTCTTCTTACCTTGAATTCTTTGATGGCAGAATATATGCTGACGGGGGCCATTTCATTTTCTCCGTTAGATCTAGAGTCAGTTACAATTTCTATTACCTGTTCCAAAGCTAATCTCATCCGGTGAAAAACTCCGTCTTTGTTTATACGAGCAGATTCACAGTCTGGATGCCTGAGACAAGTCTTTTCAAAGAAAGGAAAGTACATATTGAGTACACATGCAGTATAGCAAAATAAATGCTTCCTGCTAAGGCAAGTCTAAAGCATCTGTTAGAATATGATAAATTCTTTCTTTTAAACTGCTATTGTGTTAAGTAGAACTCATAGCGTTCTCAGAATATAAAGATTTTCCTCTACTTATTCTTTATTCTTACACCCTACAGCATGAGGTTTAAAGCAAGGCTGTAAAAGAAAAGTCAGCTATCCTGCCAGATGCCATACTCTGATTTATCTCAGTTCTCTAAGAGCCCACATACTCACTCACCTTTGAAGCAGTCAGGAGCATCATGGTGCACTTCTCAAGAACAGCCCTAGATGCTGCCATTCTAGCCTTTTTCTTCTCATCCTTCAAATCCTAAACATCAAAAGAAAGAAATCACCTGAATATTACACAGTAACTAAAATGTTAACTGCTTATGAGACTGGAAAAAGAAAACTCTTTTGCAGATGGATGGGTTGTAAGAAAGCTGCTTTATGTCTGACAACTGCTATTTTCAGCCTAACTCATGATCTAGAACTTGATTTTCAGACAGATTTTTAATTTATGCATTTATTCTTGGCTCTATTCAATTCAGATTTCAAAGAAGGAAGATCTCAGAGATACAGAGCACATTATATAAACTGACACTAATTTTGCCATCTTTATCATATAGCATTATCCATAAAATAGGAAAATTAGGGGAAAAATATCTCTGACAAAAAAAAAATAAAGTCTGAAATGGGCAAGAGGGTAAGGCAGAGACAGAGAACTCCAGCTTTTCATTGTACTGCAGTGAAGGAAACATAAAATAAATCTTTTGTCTACTTGAGTGTTATATTTACCACTGATAAAGTTTTAAGAGGCTAAAAAAGCAATTCTTCTGTAGAAAGGCACTGATTACAGGAATTTTTCAAGTACACTCCAGGGAGAGGGATACACCTGCAAAACCAAACTATATCCCCAGAAAAGCTCATCAAAAGGAAGATTCACAATTGGGATGGGGCTGGGAGGGAGGGAAGAAGGCAAGACATGAATCCCTCAACACGTAAGAGGGTCTAACAAGAGGAAGAACTTACAAAGCTACAGCTAAAATCTTTTCAATGCCAGCAAAGATAGCTGAGTGCTATTTGAGTGTTAAACAGGCATTGGAATAGGACCAGCTGAAAAGGGAACAGTTTACAGGATGGAATAAATTCTAATTTACCCTAGAGTAGCAAAAACCCCCAGCTAAATCACAAAGCAGTCTGTTTTGACATTTTTAGAAAAATCTTATTGGGCAACTACAGAAAACCTTTAAGATCAAAATCACATTTAAAAGAAAAAAAAGCCAGCTAATTTATGAAATTCTGACATTAAATTCTGATCTGACCACACTCAAGAGTTTCTGGCATACTTATAATTATAATAAGGAAAAATACTTTGAGGGATGTTTCCTCCCAATAAAACAATGCCACATAGCAGCCTACACACTGTAAAGTGAGCATATCAAGAAAGTCTTGACACAATTTAAAAAGTACTAACAAAACATTATTTCCAAAAGAGTCAAGCAGGCAAGGAGAGGAGAGCCAAAGATCAGTTAATAATGAAAACCAAAAATAGCTGAAAGGGATATCACTTACCAGCAACGTACCTTTCCCTTTCCAAGGAACAACTGGTATCAGTATTTCAGGAAAAAATAAAAGAGTTCACTTCCAAGCAAGTATTTCCTTTAACTATATGTAGCTTGTCCAGAACTGATTCTTTGATAGTGAGCATGTACTTATCAGACTTGGAAGACATCCATGTGTGTGTAAAAGGAGTGGGGTGGGGGGTTTTTAGCAAAGTTCTCCAATGTTTTATCCAAAGCATGCTCTGTCATATCACAAAAAACTACTTCTATATGCATGAGGTTGGCCAATAGTTTATACAAATTGAATTCTGAAGTTTGCTGGATATTAGGGACTCCATATCAGACCCTAGTTCAGTTCTGAATGGAGGATTTGATTGCCAAAAGGAAGGAACTAGAGCTCACAGCAGAAGTCTTGAGCCTCAGCAAACCTTTTATTAATGTGGAAGTAGCAGCAAAAAGCTTCCTGCATGAATGTAAGGCTTTGAAAGAGTAGCTGCATGCAAGAAGTAAAAAACCATTACCCCAACATAAGAAGGTTTTTACCTAAGCCTAGAAAAATATTCTAGAATAATAATAATTAAAATAATAATAATTTTAAAAAGTAAATGCTTTATTAGGATCTAAAGATTTAATGTTTGGAGTTTTCTAAAATACTTACTCTGTTTTCAAATCCCTTCACTATATGCAAATATCAAATGTTTCTGTCAAGTGATAATAGATAAATTCTCTACCAGAGTAATAAGCCAGAAAAGTTAGAGCCAAAAGACAGTGATTGAAGCCAAAGGACATCTCCAGTAACATGCACCCTGGCTTCTACAAGATACACAGATCAAACAACACAGCGATATCTCTCAGGCTGAAGTTTAAAATCAACAGATGCCCTTTGAGTGGAGCAAGGAGAAGTAGTTAGGTTTCAGAGATAGGACACCAGCGATCATTTTGTTTTGTAATAGTTAATCATATCAGAGGAATCCAAATCTTCCAGTGATTCAGCTGAAAATGATACCTTACATCTCTCACAGCTTGTTATTAGTACTTACATTTTGCCGATCTCCAGTTAAATGGGCAAACTCTACCATTTCATTTCCAAACTGGCTGAATATTTGTACAAACTCCTGGAAACTACTGACTTTTTCTAGTTGTTCCATTGTTGCAAGAACCTGCAAGATAAGGGAAAATACTGTAGATTATCAAGATATTAAACAGAAAACATAACTACTAAACTAGGAATATTATTATTTGCAGACACTTCTAATTCAAGATGCTTAAAGTGTATACATTTTATCACTGTTTAAGCATTAATAACCCAATAGCTGGAAATCAAATCTAAATTAATAATCATGCTTCATTCAAAATAAGTCATTCGTCGTCAACCCTCAAAAAACATTTTTCTCACTCTTACCAATACTGAGTAACAGTATTACAAGATTCAGTTTCTAGATTTAGGAATAATGTTACTGTCATATTAAATTTAAAAATATAAGTAATTGAAATTAATCTACAGTTTATATCCCTATGTTGTAACTCTCAGTTTCAAAGCTCAATTTCAGATTCTTAACTTTCAAAGTCTAAAACCACAGTTCCACAGTCAGAGAGGTGTTTTAATGGCTGTGTGCATTAACAAAAACAAAAAAGCAACAGCATTCCTCAAAAGAAAACAAGTTAGAAATTAGTTAATATATAGTTTTATACTTTCCATAACAACCTACTCTAACTCTGAAGATTTTTATTATCTCTATATATACCAAAGAACTAAATGAACCCAAGTTGAATCAAGCTTTTATTCAAGACATGTAAAAGCATGTGAAATAAGCATTCTTTAAACACTCAGCAAAAATTATCATATAGCTTATAAATTACTGAAGCTATCCTTGCTGAAGTCACTACAATATGGTTTACAACAAAGATTAACATTAGGGTTTTTCAGGTTAGCAGTAGAGTTGTTCATCCTAAAGTGATCTTTCAAATCCACTAAATGTCTTCAGAAGGGAAGACAGTCAAAGCAGTTCTTTATTGTGTTTCAGACTGGAAATAAGATACCACATGAAAAACTGGCCAACTGTACTTGAAAGGGAGAAATATCAACTTATTTTTCCTTTCTTATGCCAGAAGTATCTTCCTCCCAACTAAAAAAAGCACTTGACATACCTGATTATGACAAACTACCCCCTCTCTGCAACCCAGGTAAACCTTCCTGGAAGCACCTGTTCTGTAATTGAGCAGCTCCTCAATCTCATAGTTACAATCTACGTAAAGCAAATGTTCCACTAAATCCTGTGAGTACACTGGGACTGACTGCTCTATCATGCAACACTAGACCATAGTATAGGTCTGAGTATCTTATGTTATGCAGCCAGTTCCACAAAGGCTGCAGAAACAGGAACTTTTGTGATTCAGGTGTTGACGCATGAGCAAGGCTGGGGTATAAAGGACTTGTAAGGAAGCTGCACAAAAATGAAGATGTGAAAATAGCAGTATGAGAACGGAAGAAGCAGAGAACCACAGGACTGGAAAAGTGAGGATGTAGAAAAGTGAATGTGGAGAAAGAAGAAGACACACTAGGTCCAACTTTCTCTTCTAAGAATGGATAAAAAAAATTAATAATAATTATACTCAATCTTCTTGGCTTAAGCAAGTATAGTACTTCATGAGAATGGTCTTGGTTGCAAGTAACTCTGTTACAGTTACCCTAGAGCACATGTTTCCATCATGACAGATCTCTTGTTAAATAAAAATTTCAATGAAAGCACACAGATTTCCATCATAGCTAACAATTCTAAACGTTGCAGGCAGAGCTGACGCTTCAAGAAACTACATACAGTGAGAAACCATACAGAAAGCTCTAAATTTGTCTAAAGCTTATTCAAGAAGCTGTTAAAATGCAAAATATCTGTGATGTCTTCATAATTTTTCATTTTAAACTTCCTTCAACATGAAACACACAGTATTTAACATGTGCATTTTAAAACACAAGGTTAAAAATATATATCAAAAAAGTTCCTATTAATACCTAAATTGGAACTTTGTTTACAGAACTACTGCTGCACTATGAATGTTGCCCTTCAGATGGCACTCAAAGGCTGACACCACTTCAGAGCACATCCATATTTTGATCCAACCTGCATCTGTCACTTCCCTATTCATGTTCTGGCACTCCTAACCTGACTGACGGCAGTAAGCAGAGCAAGACATTAAACTCACTGATGCAGTGACTCAGTCTGATGGACAGTGAAACAAATTTTGTAATGTAGGAAAGATGTGGGCAGGGACTTATGAAATGCACACAATCTAAGAACACAGGGATGGTAGATAAGGTGTAGAGGATGCAGAAGCAGGAACAGAATACAGGATCATCAACTAGAGGCTGGGTTCTGAAGTAGGTCACCATTCCACAAGATCTCAAGCACTTAATCAGTCTATGAGACCGGACATCCAGTCACTAAGCTGTTTTTCTGTCCTTTGCCCTTGGTTGACTTAACTACCCTTGATTCATATGAGGAAGATGATGATGACGATGAAAATTAAGGTGTTCAGAAAGAGGCAGCAAGCAAACTGGCACTAAAAAATTTAACACTGGGCATTCAGTCTCTAAGACAAAAATGAAGCTGAGATCTAGAACACTGACCCACTCCAAAAAGCCAGCATCTGCTCCAGCTGGCAGTACTGATGATGCTGCTCCTGACTTTCTATCCTCTATGCCATGTTATACTAAACTGAGTATTTTTGTGCACTTAAGTTCCTACCCACATCAACCCTGTTCCACAATATTTCTTACAGGAAGAACTCCTTTGCTATCCACCACACCACTGTCTGACAACACTCTTCAGGAGCACACTCTATAAATATCAGGGTATGCCTGTATAAGACACCATCATTCATTTAACTTGGTCCTAGAGATGCCAACTGGTCTACTGGTATCAAAAACAGAAGGCAACATTCTCAAACACATGTAGACTATGCATAGAAAGGAGAATGCAGTAAAACTCAAAAGACCACAAAAACTGGAGTGACTATGGCAACCAGAGTCAGATACACTTAATCTAGAAAATGATACTTCATTTTAAATACTCTCAAAATTAAATCCTGCACCTATGCTTACTATATTATGTCACTGTATATATGACAATAGTTTCACATATATTTAAGACTATAATAAACCATGTCCTGCTGCCCTCCTTATCCCTTCATGATACAAGCACTTGCACAGTTGCTCTGTAGCCTAAACTGCGTTAACGCTAGCCACTATTGGAAGGGTAAATTAATTCAGATCACTGCATGGCTGCAGACAAGGGCAGAAGAAAAGCTCACAAAAGGCAGCAAAAGGTATTAAATGCATCATTCTGGTTTGCAGTGGAAGAAAAGACCAAAGCTGCAAGCAACTTCAGCAACTTAATATTGATAAAACTACTGCTACCTTTACCAGCCACTGGATAAAGAGCACTAAGACAGCAAATGAGTGCTAAGTGCAAAGACAGATTGAAGCAGGTACTGCTGTAGTTTTTGAATCCTGGATTCAACTAAGTGCCTTGGATCTAGAAGTTGCAAAACAGAGACCAGCATGTCTGAAAAGCAAACTGGGACAAAGGAAGAGAGATTGTATGAGGAGTCAAAAGAGGAAAGAGGGGCCCTGATCTGGATAACAACTTGAAAATTAATGGAAAAACCGAGGCCCTGTCAGGCTGTCATTTTTCTAACACGAGGTTTTTCTATTTTTGTTTTAGCACATCAGGGGAGAAAAAAAAAAAAAAAGAATATTCTACAGTCAAGACAGTGCAGTACATGAAATACATTACATCTGAGGTTAAATGGGCCTTCATACATTATTTAAATCAACTAAGTAGTTTCAAGCTAAGTTTCCAGACATATGTTAAACTGCACAATAAAACTTTTAATCTGTAAGCCTCAGTTCACTTTTATCAGCATTCCTCACAGCTTTTTGCCTTAGACACGTTCATAATGCTCTCCTTCTCTTGATCCTGACAGTACAAACATACTATCCTCAGTGAGTAGAAGCTTTTACTGGCCACGTTACTGACCTCATGGCCTCGCAGCCTCCACCTCACAGCAAACTTACAGGTTAAGCAGTAACACAGCGCCTTCTCCAGCATACTAAGCCAACAGTGCAATACAAGTCACATGTAGAAGTCACTGAAAATTGTTATTTTATTCTTCCTGACTTACAGCCATCCCCTTTCAGATATGTGGTAGGGGAACATGTGTAAGACATTCATTTTTACCTCTTTACTTTGCGCTTCCCCTAGAGATACAATGAAAATACCACTTCATTTGGCACCACTGTTTTGCATTGGTTACAGGCTACTAGTTAAACAAAACAAAAAAAGAAGCTACAAATACCTTGTTTCTGGAAGTTATAATTTGTTTAATAACAATTCTGTCTGCTAACACCAGCACTTTTGTGACAGAAGAAAGCAACAACCTTGCAGCTTTTACCACACCCGTTTTGTCTGTAAAGATTGTTATGTGACTATCAGACTCTGGATGATCCAAACTTGCCACGTCTGTAAGCTGTGCAATTGTTTCACCTAGAGGGAAAAAAAGAAGGAATTAACATTTCATACTTACAAAAAAAGATACTGGGCCATTAAGCATTCTTAACTTCTACCTTTCAAGGATAAAACAACAATTTCACAGCTACCTACAACTCTTACTTCATTTCACTGCCTTCTACTGACTGTTGGTGGCACCCTCTCCATATTTTAATTTGGACTATTAGTCAGTACTGCCTCATTCTTCCACCTGTAACATACACTTATTTTCATAGTCTACAGATATTTCAGGTCGAGGGGATGGAGCTGGGGAGTGTGGAGAGAGAAAACATTCACAGGAGATATTTTTCCAATTTTAATAGCAAAAATCAAATCAGTATAGACACTTGCAGCATCAACCCACTGAAGGAGTGGGATGCACCAAGGAAGGAAGAACTATAAATTCCCCTCTATTTCCAAATTTCAGTTAGTATTCTAGTAATTTACACATCTCCTGTTCCTGTAGAAGTCTCCATGCATGAAGAATAAAGAGATTCCAAACAATAACTTTACAATTTATAGAACTGAAGCATTACAGTGAGACTACTGCACTTTATGTTCAAAGGAGGACTGTCAAACCATACATTTTCAGAGACAGGAGAGAAAAAACGGCAAAGTAAGTGCTGATTTTCTGTTCATAAGCATCTTTTGATTCAACTACCATTTAACATGATAGTAGTTACATAGGACTATTTGACCACTTTATATTTTTTTATGTGGTAAAAATTTTACAATCCAATGTAGCAAATGGATGTCCTTGCCTGAGAAAAATCACAGGCCCCTATCCATTTAAATCTTCTGGAGTACTCTAGATAATAGTGCAATAGAGGAAAGGCACAGAGCAGTTCCCTATTCCACAACTGCAGAATGACCCCTGGGAGACCAAACTCGGGCAAGCTCTGAGACATGCTTTCTGTCAGCATGCAAGACAAGATAATCAACCCACAACCAACCAGCAGATCATCCTTGAAGATAAAATTGAGGACATTTGATCAATTCCCCTCTGACTCATCTTCAAAACCTCAACTAAGGTAATTCACCTAAGCAGACAAGACACTTGCTTCAAAAGCCTGACAAGGCCAGAGGTCCCATATGAAGAACCTGAGGGTGCATTATTACTCTGGAAATACCACACACAAACCCTATGGAACAAGGAAGGTCTGACAGTCCTTCAAACCACACAGCTCTGTGCTTCACAGTGTTTACATACAGATTTCTCTCTGACAAGTGTAATCCCGTGAGCTGCTAAGTTGCCTGAATAGGTACTGCACTATAGCAAGGAACTTCCAGTACTTTAGCTAGGACCAGGTCAGGTCATAAAAGCAATGCTATAAATAATCAGAGGGTCTCTCTAATTTGAGTATGCAAATATGAATAAATAATAACATAGTCCTGTGTAATCTCCTTTAGGTGTTCCTGCTCCAGCAGGGGGATTGGACTAGATGATCTTTCGAGGTCCCTTCCAATCCCCAACATTCTGTGATAGTACACTCTGAGACAGTGAGTTCCATAGCTAAAGGGCCTGAATACTAATAGAAACAAGAAAAATTATAGAAGTACAGCTAGCATCCAAACAGCAAAGACAGACAAATACACTAAAAGTGAAGTTGTAGGGCAAGTCTCCAGTCAGGCAAGGAGATCATTTAAGACCAAAACAGATTGGCCGTTGCCTTCTCAGTCAAATTCACTTCGGTTCAGGCCAGTCTCTAGTTGGAACTGTTAAACTTTGTCAGCAGATTAACCCAAATCTCTCCCTTTGACCCCAAAATATAAGTGACAGCATAAAATCCTGTAGAAACACAGAGAGAACAATTAAAATAGACATAAAGTGCTTTTGGTAACCAAGGAAGGATGCAAACATCATTACCCCATTTCTTACACCATGCAATTCACCTTCTTGAAGATAAATTATCAAGTCATAGGTGAAGCACCTAATCATACAAAGAGTAACCAGGGAACGTAGATAGAGCTGCAACATCTGTATATTAAAAGCTCCAGACAGCCCTAGAAACGTGACGCTTCTGACAACAGAACCAAGGCTTCCTTCTCTACTTGCAGGTCTGCAAATACAAGAACAGGAACGGTGCCCTGGGAGTAATCTATGAGAAGCATGACCTGTTAGGGTACAAAGAGTGAGGTAGGGACTATTTAAACCAGTTGGGCATACACGAGTCCATGACACATCTGAGGGTGTCAAAGGAGTGGGTCAGTGTCACTGTAATTCTGCTATCATGTCTGAAAGATTGTGACAATTAGGACAGGTTTCCAGTGACAGAAAGGTAGCTGTCACACCCATCTTCAAGAAGGGTAACAAGAAAAATTCCGATAATTATGGGCTAGTCAGCCTCATATCAGTCTCCAGGCATATTACTAAAATCATCTTGGAAGCCATTACCACATGAAGCAAAAAAAGGCAATCAGGAAGAGCAGCACAGACCTGCAAGGGTGAAAAGTCCTTTATTGACCTGAATGCCTTCTATGAGGAGATGACACTGTCTCTAGAAAAGGAAGTAATGGATGCTGTATGTCTCAACTGTAGCAAGGACTCTGACATGATCTCCCATAGAGTTGTTATAACTAAATCAGAAGACATGGACTGGATAAGTGAACAGTAACATGGGTAGAAAATGGAACTGACTTGGGCTTGGAGATGGTGATCAGCGGTACAAAGTCTGATGGGCAGTCAATTACCAGTGGAATCCCCTCAGGTACTAATACAAGGCATCAAAACTGTTCCCTGGATGATGGGCTAGTACATTCAACAGCCATGTGAACAATATCAAACTGAGGGGAGTGTCTGATCCGCTGGAAGACATGGCTGCTGGACAGAGGGACAGGCTGGAAAGGTGATCCGACAAGAAGTTGGTGAAGTCCAACAAAGGCAATAATACCAAGCCCTGCATCTGGGCCAGGATAACATCACGCAACAGTACAGGCTGGGGTCAGCTGCCCAGAGAGAACCTTTGTGGGGAAAGACTCAGGGTCCTGGGGGACAAAGAGTTGAACTGGAGTCAGCAATGATGGCCAGCTGCATGCTGGGTCGTTACTAGGAGTGTAACCAGCAGGCTGCACAAATGGTTCTTCCCTTCTGATTGGCACTTGTGAGACAGCGTCTGGAGTAGCATGTCCAGTTCTGGGCTCACCAGTACAAGGGAAAACATTGACGTAGTAGAGCATGTGACATAAAGGGAGAAGTTGAAGGCAGCAGGTTTGTTCCATCTCAAGAAGAAAAGGCCAATGGCAGAGTTTACTGCAGTCTAGAACTACTTAACTAATGGGCAGATATGGAGAAGACAGAGACAGACTGCTCCCAGAGGTGCATGGTGACAGGACAAAAAGCAATGGACAAGATAGAAGAAAGTACTTTTGTCTTTGTAGGGTGGTCAAACGTTATAAGAGCTGTACAAAAAGTTGCATAGTCTCCATTTTTGAAGTTAAATGTCCCTTCTGCCCCAAGTTATTCTGTGATTCTATTTATCCATTTTAATTTGTTGGTTTTCAATTTGCTTAGGTTAGTCCTTCTCTGTACTAAAAGATGATGCAAAAATAGGACTTATTTATTGCCTCCATTTTGCTCCATGTCTTTAAGGGTATGTAGACAACTGGCAGAGAATACTGAAAACTTTGTGACACTAACTCATTCTTGACATGTGTTTTCTCTTTTAAGTTAACCAGTCTTTCCTAGTTTTGGAGGACAAAAAAAAGAAAGGAAAAAAAAAACCACAGATAGGCATCTAAAAATGTTCTTCTTTGAGTTACATTCCACTACTGTACTGTTGCTGTAAATACTGACACAGTGCAAGACTAATGTTAGGCAAGATCTGCTACACGACCCTCTGCAGTGTCTGTTTTATGATTCTATTTTGAGTTAATCAAATTACAAGATTTATTACAAGGAAATAGTCATAACAAGTCTGAAACACTTCAGATCACTGATTATACCCTTCACAAGAGACAGATATAACATCTGTCATCCTTCAAAGCCTCTGCAGGACATGCAATTGATTTAAAGCCTTCCAACTTTTCTTAGCAACTGAGATGCTTCATGTTCTAAATCCTTTAGTGTTAAAAAACTCTCTTCTATGCCTAAAAAAGTGTCCCTTTAATTCTTCAGGCACCATCTAATTTATCAGTTAAGAAGAAGTTTGAACAACTCTAAAACTTCCTCTGTCCTAAACAGCAAGGGCTTTCTGTTGCCTGTGCCATCAGAACTTGGGATTATTTTATACAAATCCATATTCTTGGCTATAATTGTCCAGGAGATTTTACTGGCTTGCTTGGGAACACTAAAGTTGTTCAAAACGGCACTTCAGCAACTACATTCAGAATCTGAACTCAAAGGACAGTTACCCATAAAAATTTCTTTGCACAAGGGACTCTTACCTTGTCCAACACTTAACAGTCCACAGAGATAATTATGGCACAAAAACCCCACCAAACATAAAACAGCAGCAAACTCGTTTGATATACTGAACTTCTCATTTAAGTCTTAAGTTAAATTTCACATAGATAGCTCAGAGAGAATAACTGATCCATGTTGAAGTAAATGTGAGGCTAGACAGGAAGATAAACAGTCTATATCTTCACTCCTCTATACTGAGGCACATTTCTGCATAACAGGAAATAAAACTTGCAAAATAAAAAAGTATAACCATTTGGTGAGAGAAAATACTGCAGACTATTTTGATTCTGAGCTCCTCCTGGATACACTGATAGGGAGAAAAAGCACTTGGCCACAGCACATCCAGCAAGTCAAGAAACAGAGATCCAGACTGCTTCGCTCTTCTAGCAGCTGAGATTATCAATGTAAACCTTAGCAATTTTGGCTTGCCAGCATTTTACTCGGATCTCTGAAGTGGAAACACATACTTCTCACACCTAATGGAAAGTTTTCAAATTAGGGCATTTCTGTTTGCAGCCGAGTTTACTGGAGTGACCATGACTTTTGAGTCTGAAGTTTATCTAGAGTAGTCCTTCAAATCACAAAAACAATAATTCATCACCAGCGTGTCTCTAGACATTGCGACTCATTGTTGAAGGATTTTCAGAGGATTTCTTACTGTACCACGCCCAATTTCTAGGCTTTCCCCCCCCCCCCCCTCCATTTATGACAAACATAGTATGAAGTATGGATCCCCAAAGTTGGAGGCCAGCACAGCAAAGAATATACTATATAGGACACCAAAAGGCAAGTTTCTCGGGCTTCTGAGGTTATTTAAAAGATAAAAAACAGATGCCCACCCACAAATCCACTTTTTATCTTAACAGATCAATTCTAAGTACAGTGATCCATGTCTTGGAGTAGAGCACTACTCCTTTCTGCAATTATCAAGACATTAGCGTTGAAAGGTCATTTTTTTGCTTCTATATCTGGTTGCTCAAGACTGTCTCCCTGAAGCCCTAGTAAGCAGAAAGTCTGTCACACCTGTAGGTATGTCTGCCTGCTTAAACAGGAAAAGCTTGAAGAAGAACTTCCCATGATCTGAATGTATTTGAAAGAAAAAAAACGAAAACCCACCACCACCAATGAAAAACAACAGGAACATTCTTCTAGATGTGATCTTCTTGAAGACTACACTACAGATGTAAGAATATGCATTTACTAAGAGCCACTAAAATATGCAAGGAACAGTACTTAATATCTAGGAAAGCAGTTTCTAGCATGACACTGACATTCTCTTACAGCATCAGAGAACGTAACCCACTATTGGTCTAGACAGAGACCTCTGGGGGACAGAGGGTGATAGCAATCAACTCAATCAATTACCCATACTTCACATCCAAACCATACCCAAAGCAAGTTTGCAACAAAAGTTGAATCCAGCAAAAAGACAAGTAAGATATGATTTTCATTCTACTGAGGGGAGTCATCAGATGACTGATGTGAGTCATCTTACCGAGTCCTGATGAAATATGGGTTGACACTGACCTTCATTCAGACATTCAGATTTAGAACACTGTGACCTCAATAACATAACACTCAAATTACTTTAAATATTCCACTGTTTTAGCTTCACAACAATAAACTCTAAAGTTGTATTCTCACTATTCTGCTCTTTGTCTGTGGTAACATCATAAAACAAAGAGTAGTCAGGTAATTCCTTGTGGTAAAAGATCTTATAAAAATCAAAGCCAACACACAATTCCATTCCCTGTTCATAAGATGACAGCAATTTAAGTAAGTGACAAAATCAGGTAACAGATCAGGCCTTGAATAAACCAGCAGAAGAGGGTTAAGCGATTAAATAATAAGTAAAAATAAATTAAGTTCTTACATTATTCCTGACAGTAAAAATAGTGTGCCAAAAACAGCACAAGCACAACAGAATACAAATTTCATGAGTAACAACATACCTGCTCTCCTTGCCTCAATGCAAGCAACATTCATTTCCTCTTTCAACTCATGATTTTCATTGGCTATAGCTTCACCTACTGTAACAAATCTTCCAACTGCCAGGTTAACTGCTTGGCCCACTCGCTGAATTGCCTGCAGAGTCTTGTCTGAACGCTTCGGTTTATCCTTATGATTAATAAGAGTAGTTATCTGTGAACAAGAATAATTAATTATTAGAACTGTATGCAAGAAGACATTTTAATTTTAGTATTAGAGGCAAGTTTTAAACTGAACTCGGTAATAGACTTTTAGCATACTTCTCTAATAAAATTAAATGTTGAGTCATGAGTTATCATTTAACTTCTCAGAAAACAAACAAACAAAAAAAAGGAGTAAACCGAAGTTTGCTCATCTGCTGTGGTCTCAGCTTATCTTACATCTCAAATGAACTGAGAAATTTTTTTGCCGTCCCATTTGCAGTATTAAAATAAGCTGCCGTAGGTCTCTCGAGAGGCTTTCACACTACAGACACAGTAAGAGTTGAGGAATCCGATAGTAGATATATCAGTATCATTTGGGGTTTGCCAGCACTGGAAATCTTACGAAGTTTTTGCGCTGTCAGGTAACTAAAGACACTCACCTATTATGATTTGGGAGCTCCGGCTACTTTTACTGAAAAAAACTCTTTCTAAATTATACTTTATCAACTGATTAAGGCAGGCTTTAAGAATAAGCAGTGGCACAGTCTTTGCACAAAAAGAAGAACCATTTGTCTTTTAGAAATAATCTGAAGCCCTCCACCCATTAAAATATACGCTGTACTCATAACTTATACAACATCCTCAATTACATGTGTTTTCTAGAATTTAGAAAAAGTTTGCCATTTAGGTGCAACTTATCAGTAAAACAATTTGCAAGGATGTTCTTATTCTGAACTCCACATCCTGTATCAGCTTTTCTGCCCTGTATGACATTGCACTATACATTTCTTCTTGGATCATGCCAACCAGAGGTCACCTTCTGAGCCATGCAGGCTGCAGCAGATTAAAGATTTGCCCAGGAGACCAAACATGAGGAAACAAACAGATCCCTCTCTCACTCATAGAGAAAGGTAATGCAGAAGTAGCTTCTCAACCAAGGCAAACAAACATGGGAACAGTGTGCAATCCTGCCACTCAGAATTAACAAATTAACAAACTCCATTACAGACAGTAGAAGAGCTTTACATTTTTGGTATGACAACCATTTTCTAGTGAGATGCAGGACAGAAGTCGAACTCTGTAGTTTTGAACATCCTAAACTAGTATAAAACCATCACTGTTGCCAAAGATAGTCCTGACTGTCCTTGCCTCCCTCTGTCATTTTTGCAATGAATAAATCTGATGTGGGTTAAACCTGAGTTGTGGAGAAAGTGCAGTTTGTTCATTTAGTTTTTCTTACAATCAGTCGCCCAGTCCAGTTCATTGCATAGCTGTATGAACACTTTTGGTGGCAAAAGGGAAAAGGTACAGACTGGAGAGAAGATGGGCATGGTTTAAAATGCCCACAGAACTGCATTGTAAGCCACATTCCCAGCGGCTCAGAGATGTCTGCTGAGAGAATCTCAGAATTACATTAACTACTTAAGCATTTGAACACCTCAGCTGCATCTGTTTAATCACAGACGTCTCTGTCCATTCCTCAAAAAACCATAAATCACCATTCACTCATACATTCTCCTACGCCAGTCAAGCCTACGGTAGGACAAGAGCAGAGAAGCTGTACCTGTAATGCTCACATGGGATGCAAGAAAAGAGCAGGAAGCACTGTAGGAACTGTTCTGCTGTGATCAATGCCCAAGGCTTACCCTTCAGATATCACTGAGTGGTATTTCTGGGGAAAAAAAAAGTAGTGGTGTTTTTAACACCTTACTGGGGCTGATTTTGAACGCCAGGAGCTAGTTTAGTCAAGTTTGCAGTAATAGACTGTGCAATGGAAAATGTCCATATTTCATAGAGCATTTTGCACCAAGGGGAAAAAAAAAGCCAGAAAAAACTAAGACCTATCCCAATAAACAGTGCTGCCCTATCAAAGAACTGCTATGGCAATGGAAGAATATTTTGTCCTAGTACAAAACATCACTATAGAAATGCATCATCTGCCTACTGCCTTCTTATATGTGCCCTACTTCTCCAACTTGTACCTAAGCCACAAGCTCTAAAGGAAAGCCACTTTACACAATTCACACAACAAATCAGTTCCAGTAAGAGTTCCCTGAGGTTCACCAAACTTCAACCCCAAAGCATATGGACCCCTGACATCCATACAGTGAAAATACCATTTTAGGATGAAAACAGAGTCCTACCAAAGAGTAAACTAAGCAAATATCTGAACACTTCCACATTAATTCTTGAGGAGGAATGACATTCCACAAAGCACACCATGACTATCACCTCAGTAGAAATTTGGATTATTATCAAATGGCTATTAAAAACAGCTGCACTATGCAGCTCTCCTGAATTACTGCATTGTAGATGCTTCAAGTATACCAAACTATCAAATACCTGACAGCAACTAATCTAACAATCCCAGCTGGTAAATTCTTAACTAGTCATGGGCAGCAAGCCTACAGAGAGCACTAAACCAAATGCTGAAGAAAACCAGTTTGATACAGGGTCACAGCTTTGTTTCCTCAGCTGATTTTTAAGCAAGCAGCAACCCAATGCTACACAAAGGGCTAATATTACATTCATACAGTTATTGACTTCTCAAAATTATATATAAAATAACACTGGCCTAAGACAAATACAATACTAGTTGGATGCATGTCCTGGCTACAAGTTTACCACCCACAGCATTTTACACCAGTAGAAGTTTAAATGTGTTCTCCATAACCCTGAAAAAAATGCATACGCAACTAGCACAGCAGAGTGAAAGGAATCCCACCGTCTCCTACAAATCATTAAGGACATTTTAATCCCATATGTCACTACAGAGGTATGCAAATTATAAAAATCATGAAGATGTCACAGTTTAAATTGCTTTAATAAAGTCTTACAAAACATTTTCAGAAACACTTTCATTCGAAACATGGGTGAAGTTTACAGTTTTATCATTTCTTTAGCATTCCCTTCAGAGGGAATAATCAACTTTGCAGATAAAGACATCCCTTAAACCCCCACCCCACACAGGGTGAACCAGGAATCAGAAGCTGTTTTGGCAGGTCCATCACCAGTGTCATCTTAACCTCATGAGGGTCAACAAGGCTAAGTGCAAGGTCCTGTACCTGGGTTGGGGCAACTCCTGGTATCAATACCAGCTGGGGGATGAAGGGATTGAAAGCAGCCCTGCAGAAAAGGACTTGATGGGTACTGGTGGATGAAAAACTGGATGTGAGCCAGCAACATGTGCTTGCAGCCCAGAAGGCCAACCATATCCTGGGCTGCATCAAAAGAAGTATGGCCAGCAGGTCAAGGGAAGGGATTCTGCCCTTCTACTCTGCTCTGGTGAGACCTCACATGGAGTACTGTGTCCACCTCTGGAGTCCTCAGCACAGGAAAGACATGGACCTTTTAGAGCAAGTCCAGAGGACCACCAAAATGATCAGAGGGATGGAACACCTCTGCTATGAAGAAAGACTGAGAGAGTTGGGGATGTTCAGTCTGGAAAAGAGAAGGCTCCAGGTAGACCTTACTGCAGCCTTTCAATATACAAAAAGGGCTTATAAAAAAAGACAAATAAATATTTTTTACCAAGGCCTGTAGTGACAGTACAAGGTACAATGGTTTTAAACTAAAAGGGGATAGATTTAGACTAGTTATAATGAGGAAATTCTTTACTGTGAGGATGGTGAGACACTGGAACAGGTTGCCCAAGAGAAGTTGTGGATGCCCCCTCCCTGGAAGCGTTCAAGGTCAGGTTGGATGAGGCTTTGAGCAACCTGATCTAGTGGAAGGGGTCCCTGCCCATGGCAGCAGGGCTGGACTAGATGGTTGTTAAAGGTCGCTTCCAACCCAAATCATTCATGACACCCATTCTAGATACCCATCGGAGTAGCTTGTACATGCAGATTAAACTCAGCTTCGAAGCCTGTGGTTATACACAGCAGCTGAGGCTTTGCAATTACCTCCTGGAATAATGAACTTTTAGCTAGTAATATAATTTCTTCTCAGACTGGCCAACTTAGGGCTACTACAGTAATAACTATCTTAACATTAGAATGGATGGTAGTTTGTTGAGCTCCATTATTTTTTTTTCTAGAGAAGTCAAAAACCAAATAAGCATACCAGTTAAACACAAACATTGTGAAAGAACTAAAACAGAAGTTGGTCAAAAAGTTTGAGACATATGAAAATAAACAGTATCACATGACACCAATTTCAAGTGTAATCAACATTATTTGCATAGGATAGTAAAATTTGCATAGGAAGTTTGTTATTAAAAAAGTAACAAACAGCCCTGAAATAGGAGTAGGTAAGTCACAACAAAAGAGAGAGATAGAGGAAGATATGAAATATATAACAGCTGAAGGAAAAAGGGTTTTCTTTGATTCTAGAAACATGAGTTTGACATATATCAAATGTAAAATGCTTAGTAATGTCAAAAGTATGAGGAAAGTTCTTCAGATACAGGTAAGCTTCTCATAACCTGCCACCTGCAGAAAACATTGCTGTGTAAACAAGGAAAATGCATAATTCTGAGAAATATCTTTTTATTTCCTTCATTAAGTGTTAAGAGTGACAAGTATACTCAGGTATATCCTTCATTTAAAATAAAGTTATGAAAAAGCAGAGGTAATTAGCAACTGCAAATTCAGACTCTTTTCAAGACTTAAACTTAAAATTAACAATCAAGGTTAAAAAAGTAACAAACAAGGTCTTAACTGAGCAAGGAGAGGAATTTCACTAGTATGTTAAGTGATAAACTGAAGGAAACTGATGCTAATAAGCAGTACAAAGATTATTGAACCAGTTCACACCATAGAAAAAAAAAAAATCCCTAAGCAGTACAATCAGAGGAGTATTGGGGAGAGGTGTACAATGCCATTTGCTCCAAGATACAAATAAAGCAACGAGCATTAAAAGGCCAATAAGCTAGGCTTCTAAAATAAAGAATAAGCAAAGTTTTTGCTCCTGACATTTAAACCAAAGATATAAAATTGGACAAGTTAAATGGAGAAAAGCAAAGACCCACAAGAAACCCAACAAGGAATTTTCTTCCCAATGAACAAA